GGGGCCACGACCCCCCAAAAATTTTGGGGCTTTGGAGGGCCGTAAGTCGAAAATTTCAAATGGCAAGGGTATGTTTTGTATTCAGATTTGGATTCTACGCGAAAAGTTACGTAGAATTGATATGGTGCAAGGCCTGTTCGCTCCAAATTACTGAAGAACCCCATTTCCCCCATAAGAAGCCGTTTATTTTAGGATAAAATAAGGGGCAAAAAAAAATTGAGAAAACAGGCCATGCGCCATATCAATTCTGCGTAACTTTTCGCGTAGAATCCAAATCTGAAATCAAAATATACCCTTGCCTTTTAAAATTTTCGATTTACGGTGCTCCAAAACCCCAAAATTTTTGAGGGGTTGTAGTTCTGCGTAAAATTACGCAGAATTGATATGGCGCATGGCCTGTTTTCTCAAATTGTTTTTGGTCCTTATTTTATCCTAAAATACACGGCTTCTTATGGGGAAATCGGGTTCTTCAGTAATTTGGAGTGAACAGGCCTTGCGCCATATCAATTCTACATAACTTTTCGCGTAGAATCCAAATCTGAATACAAAACATACCCTTGCCATTTGAAATTTTCGACTTACGGCCCTCCAAAGCCCCAAAATTTTTGGGGGGTCGTGGCCCCCAAAATTTTGGAGCAACAGGGGTAGGGTGTGCCTTATTTTTGAGTTTTGCAAAAATCAAGTTGGTCAACCCCTAAAAAGTTTCTATGTTGTCTCTAAATGAACCCCCTAAAAAGAAAACAATTTTAAAAAAATTTTAACCCGTGCCTCAAAGGGCCTAAAGGGCCTAAACCCAAAATTCAAAAATTTTGGCAAGCGACACATCATTTCTGAAGGAAAATGGCAAGTTACGGCCCTTTTAGGGCAGAAATTTCGTCCGTTTTGCCGTATCTTGAAGCGTAAGGTCACAAACGGCCCAATGACGACGTGAGGCTATGGGCTGGCGGGGCACGCCGCGGCCGGCCCGCCGCTGAGCGTGCGCGCGCGGCAGGGTTGCGTATCGCCGCTTTACAACGGCGTAGAGAAACGAACGGTGGGGTGGGAGGGGGATATCCAGTGGAAAAGCATCCACATTTTCTATCCATATTGAAAATGCATTATACTTTTTCAATATAGATGAGGGAATATGAGCCATACAAGGAAGTGATGAAAAGAGTGACAAATACATATATAGTTCGTACGGTTAGGAGTGTAAGTGGGGAAAATTTGCCATAACTACAGAACAGCCCTGAAAATCTCCGGGAAATAAAAGCTGCTATTGATGAGAGGTTTGCATGAGAAGTTTAATTAAGGACAATTAAAAAGATAGGTGCGATGTTGTCGAATCGTAAGCCCTTTACGCGATCAAAAGCGATTAGTGTAAATTTAATTGGAAAAGTTTAAGAAAAATTTG